ATATGGGGAACCACAAACTGCGGACTTCTTCCATTGCCCTTTTCTGCCAAATGTCACTGCTTTGTAAGTGTGTTTTGTATTTGGTTTGCGCGCTCCCGAGCCAGTTTTCTTTACTGTACCTGGCGCGGCTGGTGTTGCAGTTTCCCTTGGAGCCGCCGGCGAGTTTATGTCGCTTGCGTCTAGGTCTCCTTCGTCGTCTTCTTCATCAAAATCTCCTCCCTCGGAATTAACCACCATGCCCTCGTCTTCCTCACAGGACCGGAGAGGAGAGGACATTATATCCCTGTCATTGGTTGCGTCCTCAAAAAAAGCGTTTTCTTGCCCCCGAATGTGTGATATTTATTTAATATTCAAATCGGCACAGGGAAAAAAAAAGTAGGGGGGCGTTTTGAAATATTTTACACCAGAGCAGAGCAACAAAGATGGCCGCCCCTCTTATATTTATTTTTTAACAACCCCCCCAATAAGAAAAAAATCCCCTTACATAAAAAATGGCTGACTATATTATTTCAGAACGCACCCCCCTCCTCCTTTCTCTCTCCCTCTCTCTTTCTCCCTCTGCGCGCCCCCTCCCTCCTTAAAAACGTACACATTGTTACAAGAGAAAGGGGTGTGTGGCTGCATGTAAGTTACATTGTTACTTGTTTGTGTCTTTGCTGTTGCCCCCCCCCTTCCCTCTTTCCTATTTTTCTCCAAGTCCGGATCAGTCACGAATCCGACACACTTGCTGGTGTCACTGTCAAGATCACAAGCACCACTATGTCTCCCTGCATTGCAGAGCCCGACACTAATCTATCAAATATGGCCACCTTATATTCACCGGAGCCCCCACCGTTGTATAAAAATTATTTTGGAGCAGGAGTGTGTGTGTGTGTGTGTGTGTGTGTGTGTGTGTGTGTGTGTGTGTGTGTGTGTGTGTGTGTGTGTGTGTGTGTGTGTGTGTTGGGGAGGGATTGAGAGAGGGGGGGTTGGGAAAATCTGCCGCAGCCATGCCCAGACTTACATCAGATTGTATTGCTTAAAAATTAACTACTTGTGGTGGGGATGGAAACAATTCACGGTATGCAAACTGCAGCCCCCCCTTTATCAAGCATCATAATAACCAGCTCATGTCCATTCTCCATGTCTGATACAGTGGTTTGAAAGCAACACGAGAGATTTAGTGAACTCTTACTGTAAAATGTGGAAGGCAGCATGCAGCTGGATGGCAATAAGGCCATGGGAATCCCTCAACCCAAGCCAGCCCTCAGCGGCTGCTCGGGGCACTTTTGTTTTGACAAAATACATTTTGATTCGCCTTTCACATTTAAAACCTCACAACCGAAAATCGAGGTCATGCTGGAGAAAGTGTGCCAGATAAAATAGGGAAAAGGAACTGAATAGGCCTTGATTTCATTGTGTTTGACTAATTTAATGCAATTATTCTCCGGATAAACGACTGAATGTGCTTCCTTAATGCAGAAAAGATCTTTTATTAGTTATACGAGGCCTTAAATCACATGAATCACATACATATCTCAGCACTTTTGGCAATTTTTTTGTTAATTCTTAGTTAATTCTTGACCTTGAATAACAAAAAATCCTAACAAAACATCAATTTATGAGTAGCTTCAGATTCAATGCATTAAAAGCACACAAGGAGATTAGTCTGAAAAAGCTAGTAATGGGACCTTGGTTTAATAATGTTACTGTTGAATTTAAGACAATTTGACATGTCACAGTAGGGAATAAAATATCAAATTAATAAATGCCGGGTTGATTTCATTATGCTGCTTCAGTTTCAGGGTCATGATGATGTGCACACCCCTCACTGTCACACTGTCATGGGACACTTGTTCATGATATTGGTAACACCTGTGCTGTCAAGAAGCAGCAGCAGCAAGGGATCCATTCAGTGTCTCCATAAAACAAAAAATCTTAAATTATTGATAATAATTCGCACATTTAAAGTGAAACATCTACGGTCATTCAGAGGGTAATTTTCTGTCACTGCATAAAAAGTATGGCTGTTATATTATGTTATTTATTTTTACAATCAATCCTCAATCCCCAAGAAAAAAAATGTAGAATCCTTTGCAACTATATTAAAGTCTTTTTTAACGTATAACTTACAATACATGTGTAGGCCTACTACATAGCTTATTCATAATGTTACTCTATAAATCAATTATCAGGTCATTAGACACAGCTGGCCATACTTAACGAGTGACTAAACGTACCTTAACTTAATTAAAAATGTAACTTCTGTTCTGTGTTTCAATGTTTTACATATTTATGCACTTTTAATGCTTTTGCAAGCTGGCACTACTTTAGTGTTGAATAAAACATGAATTAAACCCTTAAATGAAACCATTCAACACCCAAATAACACGTAAAATAACTCAACTGCTAAATTTGTACCCATAATTAAAATATGCAAATGCATTTTAATGTCAGGAGTGAGAGTGTCATTACTTTAATTTCTACTTTTAATGTAAAAAAAATAGGTTTTCTGCATTTCCAGCATAATACATGTAACTGTCTCAGCCTTGGCATTTCACACCAAAAACTGGATATCATGTAAACAAGCATTTTAATGACTCTAGTCTGCTGAGCACACTTCACTGTCTGCAACAGGTGGCTGAACCGCTCCCACAGATGACAAGGGAGGAATTTGTTAGAGTCTGATCCAAGTGCTACATCTGCCAAGTGAGACACGGAGCAATGCAATATATCACATTAGGTGACTGGTGATATGTGTGTATTTCTGTGGGGATGTGATGTGTATTTGTAGCCCTGACTTTGCATTACAAAAAGAGTAAAAATCCCCAAGACTCTCTCATATGCTGCAGGCCCTGACACACTGCACTACTGTGCTGTGGCCACCCCGCCACCCCTCCCCTCCCCATGTCCGTTTGGCAGGGAGACATGTCGAGGATGAGAGGGGAAAGCGCCTCCCCTGGGAGCGGCGCTGTAGCTAACCCAGATTTTATGCAGTGTGACACACAGAGGAAGACACAGGCTCCTGAGCTCCATTCAGAGCTGAGCTGTGAACTGAGGCGACCCGGAGAGCAGATAATGCTTCGATAACGGGCTGGCAGCGGGGGCTGGGGAGGGAAGAAGATGGCTTTACATATCCCAAGGAAGAGCTTTAAGTGAAAGTATGGTCTATTCTCTTTGGGTTTAGTCTTGAATGAGCACTTAATAAATTATAATTATGACTTATTTTGCCCAATGAGATTAGTCTGAGCGAGTGTGGCAAAAGTAGTGCGGAAAGAAGCCATTGGTTTTTTCCTATTTGCCTATAGTGAACTTCTCTCAATTAGCATATTCATCTTTGATTAATAGCCCAAAATTCGGTAATGTGAGGTTACAGTGAACTTGACCTTCGGCCCACAAATTATAATCAGTTCATTCATCAAAAATGCTAAGAAGGATGGTACGGATTTGAGGTCAATGTGTCCTTGACCTTTAACCATCAAAATCTAATCAGTTAATCTTCGAGTCCATGGGGCCATGTGTGCTTGATTTGAAGAAAATCCCTAAGGGCGATGGGACGGACAGATGTATGAGGAGATATGTCTCAAGATAAGGGTTGTGAAAGTATTATCAGGAAACTAAAACATTCTGCTTCACAATATTCTTTTATCACTTTGTTTGAACTGGTCATTAAAAGCAGACCTCGGACAAATGATGACAAGTAAAGATTGCTTCATGTCAATGGGTCATGAGCTAAAGATTTTAAACCACTGTCAATGTTGGATGATTACTGTGTGTCAACCCAAATAAAAGGATGTAATCCAGCACTTTCTATTCACCTCCAGCAGTCACATTGTGATGTCATTGTTGATTTGATCTAAACGCCTCCTCCACAGGATCCCAAACACCATTGGCCATGTAGCTTTTCACACAGTGAGTCAATGGATCCCTGTTGGTCAGAGCCTGTATAGGGAAACAATGTGTCATAAATACATGGGTGAATCAGGAGTTAAGCTAACACATATTCATTGATTGATTATTTTGTCCTATTGATAATAATTTGCGTAAACGATAATGACTTGTTGTATCTGTATCTTATCTAACCTATATTTTCTGGGATCAAGTCATTATGTCTCGTGTTATCATATCTTGTCTTAACTTGTCTTATCTTTACTTCAAAGCCCAGGGATGATTGCGTTTATGGTCTGTGTAATCGTTTGAAACGTAAGTTATTGCATACAAATGTCCTCAGGAGAAACACAGGATGTATTTGGATTTGCTCTTCATCCAGAAACAGTTATATTTGAAATCATTATGTTTAGTCACACAAATAAAAATAACAGCTCCACATTTTACAGGTTTACCTTGTATGAAACAGTCAGTGAAGACCATAACATATTGTTTTATTGTAATGGTTGTATCATTGATAGGTATGTCTTTAAAATCAAACCAGATGTGTGTTCTCAATGTAATTTGACTTGCTTAATTCTAGACCATTATCATTGTACTTCACACCCATTGTGCGTGTTGTAATCCAAGCTTCAACCTTTAAAATTAGGTTTGTAGTTACTTCATAAACTAGCTGACTTGAATAAAACAAGTAATACAAAAAGGCTAGGCCATTTTTAAACCAACAGTTTAAAGTTGAATAGAAACAGACACACTTTCAGTCACAGACAAGTACCTACATGACATATTTTTGGCTCAAATGTGACCAAATAGCCAACAGTCTTGCTTCAAAATACTATGATCTCCCAGTAATTACAGCAGACTTGGCGTCACTTCCAAACGTTAGTTCAAAAGCAGACAAATTGGTCTAATTATAGCTAACGGTCAGGTGTGGAAATGTATCAACTTTAGCCATGAATTCTTACATTTAGAGCTCCTTTCCGTTGTTTGTTGCCTCTTCTTCCAACTTTAATAAACTACCGATGTAATGGCTCACTTAATTTGACATTTTACTGCTAAACCTGAATGTTTTATAATGTTTTACTCCATCACTAGTTTGATGGTGACGTCCCCTTTAAGAAGAAAACACCGGATATTCAGCTTCCGGTTTGGCTGGTCCGTCAGAGAAATCACTCCGTAAGCAAAGAAGAAGAGATTATGGCAACAATGATTGAAGAAAACGGTCCTTCGACTCATGTATGTGTTTTTTATTTCTGTTTTTCATTTAGTATTTGACATGATTGTTCACGCTGTTTGACGTGTCGAAGAGAAAACAATTTTCTTTAAACACATTGAATGGTAATCAAGGCTTCAGTTGCAGCTAAAGTTAGCCGCTAGCTAACGAATAAAATAGCTGTCAGCTGTTAAAACGATGTAACATTAGCCTATAGCAGATTATATTTAGATACATAACACTACATGTAGCATATATAGTATATATCTAAAATGCCAAAGCCGTTATGCAGTTCCCTGAATGCATTTACTAGTAAAACGATTAACTGTAAACACCACATTAGATTTTTACAAGTTGACATAACAATAAAACATGTTTGTTTAACAGCTAACTAATACAAGAATACGCAGATTATTCCACCATTAGATCCAGTGTTAGTTAAGTCTCTTACCTTTCCCCTCTCACCCAGGAGCAGTATCAGGTGTCCCCTTCGTACCAGGCCCGACAGAAACTAGAGGGGCTCCTGAACAAGAACATGAAGATCCGGATGACAGACGGCCGGACTCTGGTCGGGCTCTTCCTCTGCACGGACCGAGACTGCAACGTGATCCTCGGATCTGCTCAGGAGTTCCTCAAATCCTCAGGTAGGTGAACACTGATCAACACATTAACAAACCCAATCCGTTCTGCAGGAAACACTGACATCGGGGTGTCATCCTCAACCTGATTGATGCTGATCAGACAGCATGAAGTGCCCTTTAATGAGCAATTGCATAATAACACTTTTTTTTATGGAGCAACAAAGAGCTTCGCAAAGAGAAACATGAAATAAAAATTCCAAAATGTATGATAAATACTCAAAAGATCTAAGTGACAAAATTACTTAATTATAGATATCCATTTAAAGAAAGTTTTATGGCAATATGTGTGGTCCTTTGTTTTTCTCCCACAATCCTTTTGAAATTCAGATCTGAAATGAAGCTCGATTCACAAGACAGATCTTCAAAATTAGATATTGTGGATTTTCCAAATTCACTGTATACCATACATGTTTTGTTTTGATGTAAACTGGTTGGTGTTTACTTGATTTCCTTATTTTGTTGTCTTCAGACACGTTCTCCCAAGGCGAGCCCCGGGTCCTGGGCCTGGCCATGATCCCCGGTCACCATGTGGTCTCCATCGAGGTGGAGGCAGACAGTTTGGAAGATGTACCAGGATTTGGAGCGAACCATTGATGAAACACTTTCCTGTTTGGATGACGCTCAGTGTGACTGTCTCTCTGAGCCAGCAAAAGGAGAATGGACTTCTTTTGTATGAGGATTTTATCCCTTCACCTTTACTGATGCAGAACTCCTGTGTCCATACTCTGGATTTGTGTGCGTGTGCGTATGTGTGTGTGTGTACAGCAGCTACTTGGGTGTGTGTGTACAGCAGCTACTTGGGTGTGTGTGGTAATCTTGTTTTTTTGTGAATACTTAGCTGTATTTGAGACTTTGTGTTCAATTGTTTTCAACAAAAATAGATAGAAAGTTTGTTGGTCGCTACATTTTTTTAAAAGAGGTTGGAGTTAGAAAGAAATGAAGTAACAAGAATTGTGGTTATGCAAGCGCAATAATAAAATAAGAATGCTTGGAATGAAAAAAACGATATGAATCTGGATCACTTTTTACCCGAAGGCGTCAGGAAATATGATGTAAAAGGAGGGCATGTTTTAACACATTCAATAATAATGCTGCATTGAAATGTAACTTATTTCAGTGTTTATTACAAAATGCAGGGAATTAGGATTTGAAATGTAATATAAGCATTATGCAGTAACCAACTGTAGGACTTAAGGTCAAATATCTGAGGACAAACATCCATCCTACATCTTAATGTCTTTCATTTTTGTAAAGCACTTTGAATTGCCTTGTGTTGAAAGGTGCTATATAAATAAACTTGCCTTGCCTACATCCCAAACACTAATAAAGCTAGTAGCAGCAGGGGGCACTGTTCTGTAGCTGTCATTACAATACATGTAAACACCATGACATCAGGACAAACTTGGATTGTTTCAATATTTTAATAGCTTGAACATGTCAGCTGATTCAGTTTGGCAACAGTCAAATTGATGCCACTTACCGCAAAACCCCTAAAAAGAAATCCCAGAAACAAAAGACGTCCCACTCAGTCGTTTTAAATACAAAGAGCCTCTCAAATTCAGTTCACACAGACGAGCAGGAGACATGAGAGCCGTTACAGTCGCTGTATCTTCAAGCTGTTATTGTCAAAATAACAATAAAAGAAAGTCACCTTAGTATATGGGTTGAAGCACTCTTGATTTTATCTGTAACTTAATGGTTAAGTTTGCAAATCATGTCGCAGTCTGTTAGACAAATTATCTAAACATACTAGTTATGATAACATTTAAAATGTGCATTTTTCTGTATTATCTTTTTGTAAATGAGGCTCTCGGATATTGTAAGGAGTCTATTAAAGGCTTTAAAGAAAAATCCTGCAGTAACATATCAGGAGTGGAGGAGAAGTGGAGTGGTTTTCAAACAAAAAGTGCAAAAGAGGTGCTTGGAAATGAGTGATAAAGGAACGAGCAAAGTACTACAACTCTTGTCCTAGTTGCTGCGTTTTTATCCAGAATATTGAATATTTCCCCATTTGAACAAGTGAATATGCGGGTTTTAGAATACAGTATTTCCAATCAAGTACAGAATTTACACATTCTTCCAATTAGATAGCTGGTAAGAACAAATGAACTCAAAAACAGTCACGTTCTGGCATTAAAAGGTCCCATGTCATGCTTTTCCGGTTATTACCCGTCCCCTTGTGTGTTATGAAGGTTTTTCTGCATGTAAACGGTCTGCAGAGTCACAAACCCTCAAAGTACACCCTGTAGCGAGTAAAACTCTAACACAGAAAAGACCTGTCTATGCTGCCCCAGAACGCCTCGTTGGAGATTTCTCTTTTTCCATTGTTTACGTCCTGGGTACTCTGACGTGTGAATACCCAGAGGCCACACCCTCTGCCAGCATTTCACAAAACAAAGCTTCCCAAACCTTTCAGCGATTCATGCCGGATATGTACAGCGTAGGGCACTGAAGAACGATGCTGTTCCTACTTTGTTTGGACAAGCGGGAGATTCGGGTACACAACCTGTAAGTATTCATTGTTGTTTGTGTATTTATGATGTTTAAATCAAACAAGGTATCTACCACGACTGTTTAAATGGGTATTTTCGGGCTACTACGTTGGGATCGCGGAGGGAGGGGGGGGCAGGAGCTCCAACAAGTCGGTTAGGACAGAGAGTGAATACCGGTGAATACACATACTTTACAGAGATGCTGTATGAGAAACCAATGTGAGTTTGGAAAATTGCACAGTATAAATCTATTCTAGTATACCTCAACAATGGAATTATGATCAGTAGAAATGGCCATGACATGGGACCTTTAAATTAATCTCCAAAGCTTCCTTTGATGGTGTTGAAGTCCCTCCTACTTACCATTAATGTAGAAGCTGAACAAAATCCTCCTGATGTACAAAAGACCTTGCTTCTCTATTACAGAGAAGATTTGAAACGGTGAGAGAATACTGCGAGCAGAAAACAACTTCCTATGAAATGTCCGAGCAGCTACTGCATTAAAAAAAAGAGGCCCTCGATAAAAGAATGGCACAAAGTAAGAAATGAGTAACAAGAGCAGACAACCCAAACATCTGCTAAACCATATTTCCATTCACGAGGATCTCATTTCCTTCACCCACCGCGACATTAAGCTAGATCCTTAGTGTTGGTGGGAAGAAGTCCGTTTATTTTTTTCACTGTACGACTCAAGAATCCGCTGCGTTAAAAATTTCAAGAAAACTTGAAGTTCTGAGGAGGACTTCTCCGTTATTCCGCCGTCGTTCCTCCCAAAATGTGGGGGACTTCGAAGTGTCCGTGAAGTCCTCCGCTCTAGTTGTGTTGGAACTTGAAGTGGAAGCTGCCTCCAGAATCAAAGGGGTTGAAGTGATGAGGCCAGCCGTGTCCTCCTCCTCCCCCCCCACCCTGCTGGCTCTCTGGGTCCAGGGGGTCCTCACCCGCGTCAAACTTCTGCCTCATTTCTGGAAAAAGGATGCATGAAAGAATGTAAGACGGTTGAAGATAAATGATTGCTTAACATGACAGAGTTTTTGTTGCTGGATAATGGTGTTCAGACTACTGGTTAAAGGAGTAGTTTGACATTTATGGAAAAAAAACACCTGCACAAATGTTATATTACCTTTTCATTTACCCTCATTCGCACATCTCAAACTAAAAAGGCAATACAAGAGAATTCAAGGCTCTATATTCCTACATAAATGTACTATGAACTGTGCTTATCCTAAACCTGCTCAATGTGAAGCTACTGCTTAGCTTAGCTTAGCAACAAATTGTCAAGTCACATAAACCCACAACTTGCTGTTTTTACACTCCAAAACTAATAAGATACATTTTGAGTCAGCTATAAATGCTGTTAAGTAGTTTTTGTTATTTCAGACAAAGCCATGCTAGCTGTTTCCACCTTAATGCTAAGCTAAGCTAATTAGCGGCATGCTGTAGTTTTCATATTTAACAAGGACAGCAAGAGAGGTATCAATCTTCTTGTCTTAATATCAGCAAAAATGAATTGCACATATCCACAAATGTGTCACTATACTTTTAAAATGTGCTATCAGTAGTGTGTAATTGTGACATTATAGTTACAGGCTGCCATAAACTCTGCCAGATCTTTTTCTGCAGTGTCATGTTTCTTTCTGAGAGCTAGCTGTTGTTTTCCAGAGATACCACACCCACAGAAACTAAAGCTAACCCTCTCTGAACATCTGTCTGCTAATGCCAAACATGTGACAGCTCCTGACCTGGGTCAATGAGGACTTCTTTAGCCGAGGCGATGTCGATAAACCTCTTCTCCGCTTCTTTCTTATCCGTCTCGGACTGGAAGTTGTCGGGGTGCCACTGCTGCGCCAGCTTCCTGTACGCCTTGATGACCTCCTGCTTGTTTGCACTCCTGGAGAGAAAGCAGCATACATAAGAGTTATTCGGAGCGATATTGGTGAAGTCAGATATAATTGTAGGATTAAGGAAGTAAAGATGTTTGTAATAAGTCTGGGCTGGTTACCTTCCCACACCGAGGATCTTGTAGTAGTCCCTCTTTTTAGAGACTTTGAGAAGTTTCTGAGCTCGCTCCAGCCCTTCTTTGAGATCATTGCGTTCGCCTTCGCTGTCAAACTCTTTGGCTTCGATGTAGTCTTCCACAGCTGAAAACAAACCGTAATAAAAGACGTTACAATAGGAAACCTTCTGTTATCAGTCCAGATTTGTTTTCTCTTTATAAAGTAAAGATGGGAGTAGCAGTTAACTATCATCTAAGATTAAATAACCTTAAAATACTACAATCTATTCATCCACTAATCTCCTGAACGCAGGGGTGGACTGGCCATCGGGACGTTTGGGACGAATCCCGATGGGTCGGTACTGAAGTGGGCCGGTCGGATAAGTCACTAGCACCCCTCCCCCCGTTGACAATTTACTAGCGGTATTTACTACCGAGGTGGGCCGGTCGGATAAGTCACTTGCAACCCCCCCCCCCCCCCCCCCTTGACAATTTACTAGCGGTACTGAAGTGGGCTGAGTCCCGGGCTGATTTTTAGTTCCAGTCCACCCCTGCCTGAATGTGTGTTTTTCCTTTACAGTATTCTTATTATCCTAAACCATGGAGAACCGGTTAGAATAGACAAACTACACAGATATTGCTTTCGTCTCTGTGTATAGGCAAGACCTTCCCCCCCCCATTACCTTTCTCGTACTCCTGGTTGAGGATGTACGCCTCTGCTCGGTCTCGGAGGACGTTGGCGTTGCGAGGGTCTCTCTGGTGAGCCTCTGAGCAAATGTCTATGGCATCCAGAGCTGAATTCAGCTAGAATTGGCAAAACAGAGGAAGAATGAGCTGGCAGTGAGCATTGGGATTGGAAAATATAATGCCACAAAAAAGAAAATCACACTCACATTTATAAAATACAATTTCTAGGTGAGTGAAACTAACCGAATGTCCTTTCTTCTATACCATTTATCATTTTTTTTTTTTATACAGATAATATCTCTCTCACCTTTACGAGGCAGAAGCAGATCCTTTCTTTGGCCAGGTTTGTGTAGAGCGGGATTTTGGGCTCAGTCTTCATCGCTGTTTCATACTTACTAATGGCTTCCTGGAACCTAATTGAGTGTAGAGAGATAATTCAGTTAAATGTATTTAATTAGGTTAGTTAGTCATGTTGCAAGTGTTATTTACCTCTGAGGTTTTTTAAACATCCTCCCTTTAAACACACATCATAGCAGCTCTTAGCATTCCTTTGTATTTAAACTCAAATCTTCCATCATACATAGTCATGGAATTCTTCCTCCTATTTTTGTCGGTCTGGTTTTACCCGTTTTCTGTAGCCTAATCTGGTTTTGTATCGTCATGTTTCAAATTCTTGTACCCATTGTCTGCTTAAAACTGTTTTGAATAAAATGCCTGGCTTCAAATCTCCTACTTTGCATGGTGCTGCCTTAAACCTCTTCATTGTTTTTTACCCGGTTTAGCTGTTCATGTTTTTTTTCTCCTGGGTTATTGTATATGTTGTGTGTTTTATTGGAAGTTTAATGACTTATTTGAACAACCGTTTAAAGGGGCAAAAGTTCAAAAATGTACTTTTTGGCTAACGCTGGCTCATTTACAGTGATAAATGTGCACCGTTCCCCTAAAATAAATTAAACAATTAGTGTAAGTGCTATTTTTTGGAGGCTGCACCTGAATCGGATAACTTTTATCCTTAGAATTTCGAGTGGATGACATTATCCGTTTCAGGCCGACACATATTTTGCAGCAGACATCTTGTAAATGCATTTTGGAAGAGGATCATGTTTCAGGAGGGAAACAGCATCTCTCTGACAGTAAAGTACTGACCTGAACTGTTCGATGAGTTCTTCTGCTGAGTCCAGCTGCTTGCTGAGCTTTTTCACCTGCTTGTAGTGGGTGAAGCACTCTTTGTCATCCTGGTCCAGCCTCAGACACTCCCGGATGTGACTGCACGGAAACAGACGAGCGAAACGATCATTCAGCAAGTGAAACTGATGCTCCTGAGATGAAAATAAGCTTCATTTTTGCATGAGTGAATTTGTTTAAGCTCACTTGAGTGACTCGTGGTGATCCCCCAGGCTGTAGTGCAGCATGCTGAGCTTCAGGTAGGCGCCGCGGTTGTCGTTGCGTAGCTTCGTGGTCGGGGTCAGGTCCTGGATGGCTTTCTGAGGATCGCCCATCCGGATGTAGCACTCTGCACGAAGCTCCCGAGAGTCCGGATCCCAGGGAGAGATCTGAAGGAAGATGGCATATTTAGAAGATTGAATACACACATGGGAGCTACTTGAGCTTGACAGGAAAGGAACTAATGATCACACTTTATCCACGATCATATGTTGGGGGAATTATTTTGTATCCATACTGTTCCTGTACATGAAAATAAATGAGTTAGAGTTGGGTTGTATTTACATTTAAATGCTAGCTAAACTAAGCTAGGCTAATTCAATCAATCAAAGTATATTTATTATATAGCCAAATATAAAAAAATTGTACATTTGTCTCAGCTAACTGTCTTGCCGCTGGATGTAGCTTCATATTGACAGACATGATAATTCAGTCTATCTTCTTAAGTAACACTCAGCAACAAAGCACACAAGCGTATTTCCCAAAACATGTCAAATGACTTCTTTAATCTGAGACCTAACGCTGTTATCCAGCATCATAGTAATCTTTTTGACAGATATTTGATAAATAATGGTACAAAACCCAATAATACACATAGGAATGTCAGATAACAACAGAAGAAAATGCATGCAAATGCCTATTTTCTACATTTGTCTACATCAGGAGGCAAGAGGCAGAGCTGACACGCACCTCAATGACCCTCTCCAGCACGGTGATGCTGGCGCTGTAGTCCCCTTGGTGGTACGTAGCATGGGCCTCCTCCTGCAGCTCCTCCAGCTCGTTCGCTTTCATCAGCTGGTCCCGAGCTTCTTCATGGTCTGGGGAGCGCTGTAGCTATAAAAAAAAAAAACAGGGTAAATTCCTCTCCTAATCACAAAAATCTGTCTGGTGAAATGTGGTTTCAGGTTAAACAGTGAAAAGTGTAGAAGCAGTTTAGGACTTGAACTCACCACTGCTTCAAAGTCCTCCCTGGCCTCCTGTGTGTTGCCCTGCTTCAACAGGATATTCCCTCTCTGTAACCTGGCCTGGGAACACAAGAAAATAAGAGATCGAGAGACAAGATGATGAGGAGAAAACAAAATGAATATGATCAAATCAAATAAGGACACAATACAGAATCTTCTTGAGTGTTTTGGGGTGGAGAACTTACAGCCAGGAAGTCAGGTTTGAGCAGGATGGCCTTGGTGAGGTCCGGCAGAGCAGATTTGGATTTTCCCATCGCTAGGAACACCGCTGCTCTCTTGTAGTAGGTCAGGTAGTTCTTAGAGTCTCCCTCTGTTAAATTTAAAGAACTGTTAATTTCTCAGAGCGACAAACAAGCCTCTCTTGTGTGTACTGAAAAAGGGAAGAGGACGGGCGTGTGTGTGTGTGTGTGTGTGTGTGTGTGTGTGTGTGTGTGTGTGTAACCTTACCCACAGCTGAGTGGTAGTGGGATAAGGCTTCGGCCAGCTGACCAGCAGCCAAAAGTTTGCGGCCCATCTCCAAGTGGTGCTCGATCTCGACATGGGTCGCCCCTAAGACACCTGTAACACAAGATGGAGCTTGAAATATATCACTGAATAGACACGGCGACAACATTATAACAGCAGGTCACGATTCATCTTTTTTTAAGATACACAAACAGTCAGACATCAGAGGAATAAGTAAAATTGTGTCGAGAACATATTAAAAACACATGTAAATTTCCCCTCTGTGGGACGAATAAAGGTATTCTGTATTCTGAAAGAACCCATCTGATTACATTCATCAGATGTGTATTCAAAGCCTATTTTGTTTCAAGTGTCCAACCTGCCAAACTGGAATCCTCTCTCTCTCGGGAAAGGCACACTGCTTTATGTCAATATTGGACTTTTATATGATTTTGGGTTCAATGTGAGTTTGTAACTAGAATTGTGATGCATTTGTAACTTGCTATATTACCCCAAACAGACGTTCCTGTCAGTTTCTTGTTTTTGTTTTCCAAAATAAATCTTATTTGACAAGAACAATTCCATACATTCTCGTTCTGCTTTTGTTTCATATTATTGACATTTTATAATGTCTGTTCCAATGACAACCTAAGTGTGTAACAGGTATACAACTATAAACATCCATAAGCTTTCTTTATGAAGATAATATTAAAATAATAATAATGTATGTATTTATTTACATACCACCTTTTCAAAACTAAGATGATAAAATAAAAAAGACAACAAATTCATTTAAGGGATATTTAAAAGAAGTCAAAATGTATATAATATTGAGCAAAATGAGCTTACATTATGAGAAAAATACAATAAGTCAAAGAAATTATACTAATAAAAGTTTAGAGAATGCTTTTATATTTTATTAGGTTTGATGAAGGGACTTTAAAAAGGTAAAAGGAACTCAGTTCACAAATCCTATGAAAGCAATCTTGTAAAAAATGTTTAAATAATTATAGGAGGGAGTTATGAAGGTGTGTTGAGAGAAATAGGAACCCAAACAGAGCCTGTAGTTCCTGGTAACGCCTAACATACTCTTTAACACCTTGTAAACGTGTAACCTTTGGCTTTTATAACCTAAATAATGCTCATAATTCAGAAGTGACTGTTATGTGCATACAGTATATTGCATACTGTAACCTACAGTAGGCTAGCGAACAGTAAGTGACAGTTTTGGACACGTTAGCGGCTACATAGAAGCTTGAAACGTACAGAAACGTATACACTCGTGTTTCTGAATGATTTTAAAGACATGTTAGGTAGTGTAAAGTGAGTTATACCTTCCAGCTGGATGTCCAGGAGGACACATAGCAGAGAGAGGGAGCACAGGGTCCGCCGAGACGACTCCATCCCCGGATACAATCACAGCCTCACACCGGAACCTGCGGAACTCACACCCCTGCTTTCACGTCGAGTGAAAACACCCCTTTGTTTCATTGAAACCTGTTAGATTATATGTTAAATCTCCATCATTTCCCCCTCTGGAACCAGCTACGACGGTGTATTTACGGTCCCGGTGTGACAGTAGTCCGGGTAGGAAGAAGCACGCAGCTGAAAGGTTCCCCCTTAAAAATTAAGATTCCCCATAATGTCAAGGAGTAAACTGACTTTAGTTGAACTTAAAACACCTCCAGGTAACAGGAGGATGCAGAACAGCTGACAGCGGCCTGTACAGTTTGTACACGATAGCTTTCTGCCTCTGAATTCGTCGTCCCCTCCCTTTCTGCCCTACATTTCTCTGATTGGTCCACGCACCGAGATCCGGGTTCGTGTGGAAACGTGGGCCGCTCTGATTGGACAGACTATTTTAACCTGATCCTGCTCCTGCATTCCCTGCATGGGTCACAAAGGCGGCTAGTGCTGTAACCATGGCTGTAACAAAGTGTCTGTTTAGGGTCAATAACTAAGGAAATCGAAAGTTAACTTCGGCTACTAGAAAGTGGATCTCATGTTATTTTTGTTATTTCTATTACTACTGTTACTTCATGTTTATTTGTATTCTTATTATCCCTTTGTATATTCTCGTGTACTACCTGTGTTTCTCTCTTTAATTCTGTTACTACATGTAAAAAGTTCAATATTTACCATTTTCTTCAATGAAGAAGACGTTTAAGGTAGCAAAAGTACATTGAAATACTTTAGATAAGTACCTGAAAGTTGTACTTAAATATGTTACAATACTTCAATACATATCCTCGGTCAATACAAATCTCATTATTATGACATATTATTTTAGAATGTTGTAACATGTCTCATATAGCCTATTTTGTGACACAACATATTTTAATTATGAAACACAACACAGCATCATATTTTGTCCTACGTTTGTAATTACTTAATGTTTTAAAAACTTGTAATTTAATGGAAATATAACATTTTAGACAGCTGTAAATAACCTAAATAGTATAATGTAAACTTAAATTTCCAAAAATCTGATTTGATAACCATCTTTTTAAATATCTTTATTTAATTGTGTCACATCAAAATAACTTTGCTATTCTTTTTGAAAAAAGAAAAGGAAAACAGATGCAATCAAAACATTATTGGCTACAGGAACACAAAGTGAAACAGAAATGTTTGGAATAGAACATTATTATTGTGCGCTATCGTAAAAAAACAAAATAAAGATCACTTTTCCACGACCCTCTTTCACAGGTACTATCTATAAAACTGTACAAAACAACACACATATCTGGATTATAACAGTTTTGACCTTCCCCTTTACACATTCCTAGAAATGTGTTTGCAGATTGTCAATTGATTAAATCGCTCTGAAAACAAGTGACTGTATGTAAAAGTATATGAGTTTACATCATCAGGAAAACATAAATAGAAACAATTGTGCAGTGATAGGAAGCTTAGCTTTTTTACAACTCAAATGCAATCATTTCAATGCAGTCATTTTTACAGAATACACTCTTTAAATTGTGATTATATACATTTCAGTGGGGATGGGCCTTTAGCTTTTACACAAAAATATCCATCAGAGGTGTAAAAGCTGACACCAGGACATGTTAAATGTTTCAACAAAAACTGACAAAGTTTAGCTCAGATTCTTTTTGTTTTGGTGACAAAGCTCAGTGTCCATATCCAGCTCAAACGTAAGCATTTCGTCCGTAAGTACTGGCCACCACACTCCTGGTTGGTGCTGGTCCAGAATATACCGTTCCCTTGGCTTGATAGGGCAAGGGGCTGCGAAACAAGAACAAACATGACGATGAAAAAACGTCTGTGAAACTGAAGCAGCTAAATGGTATTCAGCCATCATTAATTTGACCATTAACATTTGTACTTTCCTATGTGTGACATGTCAAAATGTCATCAGGGAAAACGATATATTCCAATATAAAATTAATAGAAGAAATTCGGGCCGTCCTTGTGTCGTTTCCAGCCCATTTGTGACCCCCTTCCAATTTGTTTATTGTGCCTATAGTCCACTTCCTCTTTACCCAATTATGTTGTTATTGCATATTTGTACAGCCTCATTCATCTTGCACAACACAGATATATGGTCATTAAAATAGAGCCCAGATAACACTGTCCATTTATGAGAAACAAAGATGGGCGGGCTCTAACAACACACCAGGTGATAATGTCCAATAAGAGCTCCTTTTGACTTCCATAGAAGACGTTCTTCCTAAGGTGAATTCATAACGTTTTGCCACAGCAAGGCGCCAGAGGGCCATGAATTTAACAAATATATATTTAAGAGGTTATTTAGGTCCTCAAAACATGCATCACACATCATTATTTTTATCTACAATATGAAACATCTGTAACATGTAAAAATAACTTTTCTGCCAAGATACTAATAAATAAAAAAGGACTACAATTATTATTTTTTGTCTAAACTGTAATTGTACATTTATTTATAACTATATTTTAGCTTTTTTAAATTTTATTGTTGTATTGTATTTGATCAAATATAGTCATTTTAGGTAAGAATCATTATATTTCCAAATATGACTTTTTGTACGGAGGAACAAGAGCGCAATGTAAATGGTTGAAAAGCAATGCGTACATTGTTACAAGTAATTAATTTACAGTAAATCCATGAATAAATAATAATAAAAAAAGTATGTCAATTATAATAATATGAAGTAAATGAACTCACTATTTTTCCTTTGTGCCCATTTGGCAGGAGCAAGTGAGACAGGCTCCTCCGGCGATGGCGAGCACGGCGGAGCACCATCCCATGTAGAGTCCTTCTCCTATTTCATATCTGTGACACACAGCAGAGTGTCAGTCAGCTTCATATCAGACCTTTCATCATCAACCAACATCACCCCCACCTCCACCTTACTTTGTCCCGAGGTGCAGAGGGTTAAAGAACTCCTGTGTGATGTTGAAGGCATACCAGGACACTGCGATCAGTGTGCACAGACCTTTTGATAAAAAAAAAAGTAAATATTCTTTAATCATTAAGAACGAACCTGGGAAGCCTCCAGATACAGAAGTTCAAAGTCAGTCAAGAAAGGAGGAACAATCTAGGACTATTGATTTTGACAGGCAATAAAACATCATTTATTAACATTATGGAGAAGTTCCTATTTTTATTTATGAGGTATTAGGAAGTAAAATAACATTAACTTAATTTCACCTGCCCTAAAATAAACTTTTAAAGATTTTTTTAATGCATTTTGCTTATCTTTGTTACCTTGAAATATGAAAAGGACTCCAGCAGTGCCAGCAAGCCTCCCTTTGAGAACATAGTTTTCCCCCCCAGCCTTGGAACACTGCACTCCTATCAGGGCTAGCAACAGTCCAAAGGTGCCACACACTATGGATGTGATCATCAACGCACGGGACGCTTGGATGTAACCTGAAGAGCAGAAATAAAACCAAAAAAAACCCCATTAAATTCACACCATTTTAATTGTCATCTGCCTTGAAAGGGATCATTAGGTTATGGCCAGAAAAAAGGAACGTTATAGCTTCAACAGAGCAAAAGTCCAAGGTCTTCAAGAACTCGTAAAACCTTGAAATTGAACTTTTCCCCTGACAAATCATCATCATCATCATGTCATAAAACCACTGTTAACTTCTTGTTTGTTTACTTTCAATTATCTATAATGGATGTTTAGTGCGTTAAGATCCTAAATAGTGTTTTTTAAAGTCAACATACCATTCAAAGCGAGCAGCGAGGGGAACTCCCTGCAGTTGTGGACCCCGGTTGAATCGGTGGCACATGACATCCACAGGTTCTCGTAGATGGTGGAGGTGGTGATGACGTTCCCGTCCACGGTGGAGGTCCTCCAGTACCGGTTGGGCAGCGTCATCCCAACCATCACCCAACTAATGAACCCCAAAATCAACGCCACTACTTCCACAATTGGATCCATGACCCCTCCTTGGTCCAGAAGTCACAAAAAGTATATCCAATGTGGTGATAAAAACGATTTTGGTGTGATTGAAAGTCAATGAGTGTGTGTGAGAGTGTGTCAATGGTGCCACTGGGAGATGTGTCCAGCTCCACAGATATGTATAATGATTTATCTGACTCGCTTTCTCTCCTCCCCCCTCCCCTCACACACTCTCTCTCTCTCTCTCTCATGTATTTTACACCCCTGAAACTGAGCAGGTGTTTATCGCCTCACTCTCAGGGTCCAATGGTCATCAGTCGCACTTGATGGCGCGGCACGGTTCATGTCTATTAGACATTTTCCACGTTTTATTTTTCCCGTTGATGGTCAATTAGCAAACATTAGCATGTTTAAAACAACATTATTAACAGGACTTTTTAAACAAAGACAATTGCACTTGTGGAAGTAGTACTCTTTTACCTAAGAAAATGTAGCAATACTACAGTGTAAAAGTATACTTAAAGTAGAACTCATGTATGGAAAATCTTGCTTAAGAGCTTCAAAATGTAGTAAAAGAACCAAAAGTAGAGTAAGTATAAGATTACAATTTGTTTTAATGGTATTTTAATGTTGCATCTGGTGAAGGTAGAGCTCACTTTAATTACTCTACAGTACAGCCTACTGATGGTTAGTATAACCTATAATAAAAGATAATAATTTAAAAACTGAACAAACACATGCATCTGATATGTAGTAGAGTAGTCGTATAAAGTAGCATAACATGGAAATACCTTAAAAGTACTTTAAATGTGTGTTCAGTAATTAAGTAGGTGTACTATAACATTCCACCCAGGCGATTGCAACTTCAGTTTTATTGTTTTGGTTTTGAATCTCAAGGCCATAAGACACAAGGTCACCGTGACTTAGCGCCATTTGGAAACGTTTCAACATGAAAGCGGTTAAGTTTGAGGCCCGAAGCTCGGATTAAATCTCATTGACAAAGGTTCAAAGTTACCCAGTTTCTGTGATTTGTGTGTCCTGATTAATTATCCTCCTGATAACTGCTGGGTCAGCGTTGCCAAATCCAGAGTGATAATATTAAGATATATCGTAGGCTGCATTTCAGCCCTGATGTGTCTAGAGATGGTGAGATTTGTGAACCAGGAAACCGATTGTGTATAAAGATCAAGAAATAACGCTAAGTAATTCAGTTCATGAGAAATAGACCACCAGCAGGTTTCTGGAAGGAAGTGGGAGTTGAAGCCGTGGAAAAGGAAGTTCATGTTAAATCAAAGTCTATATTTTTACATGCTGAAACCAGGCTAGTGAAAACGAAGCTGCTAAATGTCTTATTTTGTTATTAGCAAGAGATTTTTCATAGAGTTGACTGAATAGAAATCTTATTTTTGGCTCTTTTTTATATTGACAAACCAATTTTCGTTTAGATTTTTAAACCACAATTTCCATTTTATAAATTAATCTGTGCAGGAATTATTTCACTGACATCATGGACACTGTGAAGGTCTATTCAAACCTATTTATATATTTTAATTCCTACAGGATGTATATCTCACTTCAGAGTTTTCATCTGAACGAAGGTAAGTCTAAATCTAAACTCATTGGTCTTCCTCATCTACCTCACCTCCACCTGAGCTCCTCTGAAGAAACAACTGGATCCTCGCCCGCCATAAACGTCTCATTTAATGGCCGAGCTGTTTGCAAAGCTCGCTTTACGGCTTTGTCTGTAAAAACAAAGCTTATGTGATTTTGGTTTTTAAAGGATACCTAGACAGAAGCCTCTCCTTTTTGCTTGTGCTTTCCAGGATGTACTTGTCACAAAGCATCGAGAAAGAAGGCAGAGCAATATAGAAGCAATTAAAAAAGGTCTGTGGGTGCTGGTTTAATAACAAAAAAAGGAATATGAACACAATATAAGAACATTTTCAATAAAAGTTAAGAGATAGAAGCAGTTGCTACTTAAAGGTGGGGTAGGTAAGTTTGAGAAACCGGCTCGAGATTTTTTTTTGTTATATTCCATGGAATGCTCTTAACATCCCGATAGCAATGAATATCTGAAGTGCTTTGACAAAAATCCATAAAAAAATGTCATCTGTGGAAGCCGTAGTACTGTAAAAAGAACGACCAATCATTTTAGCCGGGCCGGCTAAAATAACTGGATGGCCTACCTGCCCGTCAGCCTTCCATCTTTGCACAAACTTATCTCGTGCCCTCATTGTTCATGTGCGCGTTCGTGTGTGTTGGAGGAGGGGCTCTGTAAGGAAGTGGCAGATTTTCTCCGGCTGTGTATTTTCAAATTTTAGCGACCTCGAGCCGGTTTCTCCAAAATTACCTACCCCACCTTTAATGTATAACCCTATAACTCTAGTAAAAGGCTTTAAATCCTATGAAATCTGCACTATGGACAGTGTGTCAGCAGTTTTTCGTGGGAAAGCATTTAAGAACATACGTATATTATCGATAAATAAATCCACATGCATATGACCATATAGGGCACATGTGTCAAACTCAAGGCCCGGGGGCCACATCAGGCCCTTGGTGGATTTAATATCGGCCCGCAGGATATTTCTAATTACTATTAGATCTGGCCGGCCGGTATATTGCACGCACACCTTCACTCAATCCTGAGGGTTTCCTCAGCTCAGAGCCTGAGCCCAAACATTGATGAACTTGCACCCAAGATGAGATGCCAAGTATCTGGCTTGAACTAGCATCACAGAGCAGCACATTGAGTTTCAATGGATGTTTCCTTTTGCACTTTTTTTCTTGCGACAACAGGGCATGTTTGGTTTTTTCTTTGAGGGAAATAGTTTTTTTGACGCTGTTGTTGGCCTGTGGGAAAATGTAATCATAAGAAATGACTCGGGAAAAGCTGCAGATAGAGCCATAAGAAATGAATGCAACTGATTATTTAATGTTTAATGTTGTTTTTATCATTTAAGCTTTGTTAGTTCCAGGTTTAATATGTGCAATAAGTTCATTTCAATAAGTTTTGCAATAAACATTGAACCCTCGACTAGTACCCATTTTTTAATTTTGGCCCACTGTGTATTTGAGTTTGACACCCCTGATATAGGGTATTGTTCTCTACATAAAGGTCATTTTGTTGGAAATAAAGAGTTATAAAAGTTAAAATGTGCTTTAAAAACACATGTTCATAAATAGACGTATTAATTCAAATTTACTTTACTATTAGCATGGGGTCCAACATGAACACGTTTTTTAAAGCCATTTTACATTTTTGGTTGTTTCAAACGAGAGATTTCTGGGAATTTCTGTGTTGTTTTCACAGGGCGGTCAGAAGTGGGTGGAGTTTATTTAAAAACAATGTAATGCATTATACTCCTTTCACCAATCATAATGCAGCAAGATTTGAATGATGACGGTTGCTGGGCAATTTATAACAGCAAGTAACTGTCAATCAAGTAAGGGATAATGTGCAGCGACGCGGTCATTATGGGGAAAAGAACATCCGACAGGCTGATCAGGAGCCCGACGCGAAGCTTTTTTTTTTTTTTGCTTTTCGGCCAAACTGTATACAGTTAAACCGACCGAACTTCTTTCTGCAGATGTAAGCGTCCTTAACAACGGTCAATAAATCATTGACAGCGGTCTGTCTGTTCTGGATTAACAACGTGTCACGTGTTCTGAATTGACCAATCAGAATCGAGTATTCAAATAAACCATGTAATACATCTGATTAAACCTAAACACACAGTCCTAACGAAGCAGGTTAGTGTAGGTTTATGGTTGTTGAACATAAATAATACTTATTAAAACATTAAATGTTGCTGGGTCAGCCATAAATATTAAAACCTAAGATTTGAAACTAAGCTGTCAGTCGCTTTGAGATATTTTTATACAAAAATGCAGGAAAATTGCTATTGTCTATCAAACATCAAAAACACATAATCATTTGTTCAAGTTCAAGTTTTATACTATCCCTATACATGATTAGTTCTGTCGTCAATGGACTGCTCTTCAAACTATCCAATAATACGATCAGCACAATAAAAAGTAAGAAGGATATAATAAAAAGCCATGAACCCATTAAACTTTAACTTCACATAAAATGATGAAAATGACTGTCGGCCTGTATGTCCGTCACTGCCTGCAGTAATATAAAGCGACAGACAATAAAGCGCTGTGTTCCTGGATTATACAGTAACTGTGTGATGACATCCAAACAGTACAGGGTGTAGTTGAAAGAAGACACCGTGTTCCCAGACGTATTCCCCTTCTTTATGGTGATTACACATTAATATCTCTCAGCCTTGTGATGAACATTGGCCCTCATAACTCAAACTCACTGAAGCTAATGTGAATTACACTGGCTTTCAATGAACCATTGACGTTAAACTGTGTTAAAACAGCACAAGGGATGAGACATGGGACGATTACAGCTTTGGTTATTCTCTTTCTCATCTATTTGGATATTAGATACATATTTGGGGACATTTACCCACCCCTTTCACACCAAAGAAGATTATTGTTTTCACTGATCTGTCCCTGGGGAGTTTCGGTCCTGTGGGATGGGTTAATGAGTAACATCCCACAAGGCTGATAACACCCCACACAACTGATATCCTCCATAAGCCTTCCTGTCGTAAAACGGTGCCAGATACTCAAATCAATACGGGGGTCAAAATGTGAAGATGATCAGCAGCGAGTGAACAAGGCCGGCACGTTTTCTGCTTGAACATGTACGTCCTATCTTACCTGTAAAGACTCAAACACTTAGATAAGGATTGTTGTGCTTTTTCTTAGTGTCCACCAAAACATCATTGTGATTTAGTAGACAATAAATAACAGTAATAAAAAAGGATTGGACTTTGTTTCTTCATTAATACATTCTTCTGAAAATGACTAATACATCGATCCCATAAATGAAAAAAACAAACTGTTTCGTAACAGTTAAAGGGGCCTCATTGTGATCATTTGTATGTAGTGTCTCTACTGTGACATGTCTCCATGCTTTAATGTTCAAAAAGCTCTTTATTGTTCTCATACTGCCTGTGCTGCAGCACCTCTTTTCACCCTCTGTCTGAAACCAGAGCCCAGTCTGCTCTGATTGGTTAGCTGGTCAGCTCTGTTGTGATTGGTCAACCGCTTAGAGATGTCCCGCCCCTTAGCCTATCATGCACATTGTGTTGGAGGGCTAGCCAATAGAAGCGTAAGTGTTACATAGTGATGTCATAGGCTTACTCATGGTATCCGTTTATGCAGATGATACAATGTTGTAATGTCATTGCATCTTGTATAATGTAATGTTCAGCTCCTGAAATGGTAAATAATCCTATCACCGACATACAAGATAAATAGTAATAAAAAGACTAAAAGATAAAAGAGTTGTAAAAAGAGAAGTAGTGGCACATCAATAAATATCAAGCTACCATATGTCAATGTGCCAAATGTCCCTTGTACTCTTCACTGCATTACACATATTTAAAAGACATTGTGATATATTTGACAGATATTTGACTTTGTATAGTATGATGCTTTGTTATTGAGCCAACGCCCCCACATGATATACTTTTGTGCTGAAACAATTAGACATTTAAAAGTGGCATCTATTTTGATTGAATTGTTCATGAATTGATGCTAGACAGCTAAGTCATTTTTGTCACTTTGTTTGATTGTTTCTGACGCGATTAGCATTTGTTTTTGCGCTCTGAAAGGCTCGACAATAATTTTCCAATTACCCAAATCTCAGTTCAAAAGCATTTTATTAAACAAGATGGAAAAACAACTCTTCATATGCAGACCAGGTAAATGGCAAAGGGTATCCATCTTCAATGAGTGTGTTGCGTCCCTTAATTCAAAGTAGTATTCAGAACAACTAAAAATCAACCCCTCTCTCCTCGCCTCCTCAGCAGCATTATGGCACTGTCACTGCTTGGTATAACAATCTACACCTCCCACTTCACCAATAACACTTTCTTTACAATTCTTGGAGTCAAAAACAGACAGTTACAGAACCACAACTGCGCTTTTAGGAAGATATTATTTACTTAATGTAAATGGGAAATGTAGGTGCAAACTAAATTAGAATTTACAGAAAATTGAGCTGCACCATTACTGTAATCATTCATCAATATATTTACACAAATAATAAGAAAGTGCCATGCTATGGTGTGAATAGACAGATAAGTAATGGCATATGTATGGTGAATCTCAACCCTGTTACAATATGGTTATTCACTGGCATTATTCAAACCAAACCAAAATGTTACATCCGTCAAGCTCCATTAATAAACTTTTTTTTTTTTATGCAGGTAATGGTCAATTTGTCAGTCCAGCACAAAGATGAAACGTCGTCCCATGTCCATGTTAGGATTTGGCACCTTTGGCCACGGCCAAACCGATGAGGCCCGCCAGACCAGCAACACCCAGACTGATCCCCCCGACGATCGCCATGCCAACCAAGCCGTCTAGATGACAACATGTGAATGTCAGCATTGTGGCTTGAGACTCAAATAACAGGGTGAAATCAATGTTGGTAATATGATTGGTTTGTACCTTTCTTTAAAGCTTTGTCGATGAGTTTCTCCAGATCCTGAGCCTGCTTGTTCCCCGGTTCGTTCTTTAGGAGAGTTCGGATGTACTTCAGAGCTTTCTCATATTCCTAGAAGAAGGGTGTGCACATTTTAAATGATGTGATCAAATGGGAGGGCTGCGATAAATATTGTAAGCATGCTGCAATCTTTATTTCAAGGAATAACTGTGAACTTGTAATCTCCAAAAGAAGAAAAGTAGTTTTAATGACAAACAACCAAATATTTAACAATGTCAATATTATTGGGACTGTTTTGACTAGGGATGACACTTACTTTGAGTCTGTATTTGGCCACTGCAAGGTAGAACAGGAAGTCCCGAGAATCGTCCTTTGATGCTTTCTGAACAAGTTCTAAGACAAAAAAAGAACAAACATTAATTCCAGATGAAATTAGGAAAACATGGACGCTAATATGTTACCACAAATCCTCATTTTGCGAATAAACCGGTCATTTCCTCTGTATGATATGTTCTCAGTAATCAAATCAAATCAGGTTTTATTTACATAGCACATATTTAAAAACGATTTTTGGTCGAGCCAAAAAGTGCTGTACATGCAAATAATAAATAACACATTACTACAATCGCAAACAGAAGACAATAAATTACAACAGCAAATATAAAAATCAAACACAGGGAAATGTCATGAGTCTGAGTCGTGCTCCACTCTGACTAGAAGGCCAGAGAGAAGAAGTGAGTCTTAAGTGTTGATTTAAAAACCCCTAGGGTCTGGGCCGACCTCACATGGAGGGGCAGAGTGTTCCAGAGCCTAGGGCCAGCTGCTGCGAAGGCTCGGTGACCTCGGGTTTTTAGCCTGGTCTTGGGCACTACCAGCAGCAGCTGGTCAGCCGACCTTAAAGCTCTGGCTGGGGTGTAGCGATGGATGAGTTCTGCTATATAAGCCGGTAACACTCAGAAGTGAATAAACAATATATGTATAGTATTAATAACTTGACAGATGGGGCTCTTACAAATGTTAAGGAAATAACCACATTTGAATGACCAGACATTCAAAGGATCCATGTCCAATAAATTAAGTTTATTTAAATTCACATGTCAACATCAGCATTAAACATCCACTATTAGTCTACACTGTATATTTTACGCACCTTCCAAGAGCACAATTCCCTTCTTGATGTCGTCTGTGTATTTGCTCCGGATCAGACACCACGCATACTCAAACTTAGTTTCTCTGGAGACGGCTCCCTTCACCAGCTCACTGTTATACTTTTTCTCGAACTTCTATCATTAAACAAAGCAGAAATGAAGCGACGCCAGATTAGAATTTGTTGCATATTTAATCAGTAATGGAAGAAGCACTCAGATTACTAACTCAAGTAAAAGTAGCAATACTCCAATGTAAACATACTCTGTTACAAGTAAAAGTCCTGCATTCAAAATTGCTCTTAAGTAAAAGTATTGGCACCAAAATATACTTGAAGTACCAAAAGTAAAATGACTATTTACGGCACATTTAAACACCATATATATTTTAAATGACTGAATTATATATTTTTTTAATGCAATAATCCCATCATCACTTCAATGTTACACTTGGTATAAATGGGGTTTATTTTAATTACTTTATTTACTACTGGGTAGCTTTTGACTATAACAGTATATAATAATGTATTATTTGATTTAAATTGTGTATTTCTAATCTAAAAAGGTGGGGGTAAGTAGGTAGTAAATAAATATTTTTAATGAATGTAGTATAGTAAAAAGTACAACATTTGCCAACAACATGTAGTAATGTAAAAGTATAAAGTAGGATAATGTGAAAAAACTGAAGTAAAGTACATCCAAGTATAGTACTTGAGTAAATGTACTTAATTACATTCCACAACTGTATTTAATTGAATAATCTGTGCAGAAAGGCAGTGGAACATAAACACATTGCTTAGCTAATATCACATGTCATGTATTGTGTTTGTTTTGACAGAGGCTGTTCGCATTATGTAATATTTCACAAGAAGAATACACTAATAGCTGTGCGCTTTACGTTTAAAAATAAAGCACATGTCATTATCTTACTGTTACCAGCATGAGTCATAAAGTATATGAGCGGAAATAACGATGTCACTGTGACTTGTTTTAAATGTCAAACATAACTGTTAGCATTAGCTAGCTGGTGACGCGACAACGTATCTCTCGAAACGTGGATTTACAAGCAAAGTTTCAGCTTTAAACGAGTGACCATGTGTTGTGAGGACATCATGAATGTCCTCCATGCTTTAATAATTATATTTAATGATAATAAGATGTTTAAAGAGTTTACAACTTACTAAAAGATCTTCGGGAGCCACCACATCGCTCACAACAGCCTCCATGTTTCCGGAAACAGCTTTTGACTCCGCCCACCTTACCACGTCACAGCTGTTAGAGCTCACTTTCTAGAAACATCTTCTTTAAAGTAATAAAACCATAATTATCCAGAGGTGGGAGAAGTACTCAGATCTTGTTGTTAAGTAAAAGTAGAAGAACCAGAGAGTAGGAATACTCTGTTACAAATAAATGTCCTGCATTCGAAATGTTACTAAGTAAAAGTACAAAAGTATTAGCATCAAAATATACTTAAAGTACCAAAAGTAAAACTACTTATTATTCAGATTTGTCCATTTCAGAATAATATATATAATATGTTTTGATTATAATTATCCTTGCGTTAATGTGTTTATCAAAGCTGGTAAAGGTGCAGCTAGCTTTTATCAATTTGTAAGCTCCAGGGTAGCTTGTGAATGTTACTCCAGGTGTAACTAAAGTCTTATTTAAGTGCTGATTATATTTCACATTATTAATTCAGATCTGCAAAGTAACTAAAGTGAATTAAATACATGTAGTAGAGTAAAGTACACTATATATCTCTGACCTTTAGTGGAGTAGAAGTACAAAGTAAACTGTAAAGTACAGTACTTGAGTAAATCTACTTACTTACACTTCTGCATATTAATAATCATCATCATCACATACATGTTTAGGAGTTAAAATGTTTTATTTTTTCCTAAATTGCAGTGTTTCCATAACATAATTCAAGAGACATAGCTGCTAAATAGGTACTAATAAGGCACCAAAAATATATTTCTTTGCTGCCGAGGCTTCATCAGTTCTTTGCGAGGTGGGCCGGAGAAAAGGCCAGAGGCAACAGTTCAAGGAGGCTGGTTTCTTTGTAAGATCCATCTGGTTTGGTCAAGTATACAATCCAGTCCGATCCAAACTGAAAGAGAGAAAAGAAGCAAAGTAGGGAAGGAGAAAGAAACAACATTAAAGGTCATAGCCCGGATTTATACAAACACTGAGGCCCAACTCATATACTGTAGATTGCCACAGACACCCAAAAAGTACCTCCATTTTTAATTTTGTATTCATTCTGTTAATGAAGCTTAACACCTGAATGCCGCACACATAATTCATGTATTTTAATATAGTTGATGCACAGAAAACGTTGTTGTTGAATGACTACATCCGACACCTTTAACCTACTTTAAGTTGTGTGATGATTGATGGAAAAACACAGTACCCCGCCTTAACTTTATTTACTGACATGGAAATATTTTGACATTTGACAAATGCAAACACATATTTTTCCGAATTAATTTTTCTTGTTTATAGCGCACTGATATATATATATATTTTTTTAAGATATAGACATTTTTTATAGAATGTATTTAAATGAGAGATATATTTTCCCAACAAATATTTTTTAATGTATATTTTAGAGAATATTATATGTAAAATTATATTGTAAATAACTTGAAAAAGTGTAATGTTTTTAGAGTAGATATGTGTGTCTCACCTCCATAAGAACCTGTCGACAGGCCCCACACGGCCCAACAAAGCGGTCTTTGATATCACTGCATATAAGAGAGGAATGTCATCATAACATGTGCTATATTAAACTCTTAATGTATCATCAAATTCATTCAAATGTCTCCCACCATGTCACAGCAATGGCAGTGAACTGTCTGTATCCTTCCACCACGGCCCGCTGGATGGCCGTCCGCTCAGCACACACTGTCAGACCGTAGGAGGCGTTCTCCACATTACAGCCTGAGAACACACACACACATACACACACACACATGCACACACTCAGACTCTGGACTCTTTTTCTCTGTGGAAATAAGTGTTTTAATCTTTAAAATGTAGCTGTTTTCTTTGGCTTTTTCTTAATTATTTACATTTATTCTTTTATGAGTTGAAAAAACTATTCTTTGTTGTTTGCATGTATAAATTATTCTCTTTCTCCTTCATTTCATGAAAATAGAAATACTCATTATGCCTTTGTGTAGCTGGTTGAGCTGGAGCTATTTTTAACTATTTTACATTCCTTTAGGTAATCTCATTTACGACATGACAATACATTGTAAATCCCATCAGAATCTTGCTGTAAAAGATAAAATAAGATAAGATAAGATTAGATTAAATAAGGGAAGGAGTAAGAGAACAGATGCATAGTATCGATATGTTAAAATAAGAAAACCATACATAAGAGCATCTACTGCATAAACAATGAGGAAGAAGGGAGGGTGTGGCTCAGTGGCTAGTGTGCTGGACTTCGAATCAGGGGGTAGCAAGTTCAAACCCCACTGCAGTCAGCATGTCGTTGTGTCCCAGGGCAAGACACTTCACCCCAAATTGCTCCTGTGGGGATTGCCCACAGTACTGAATGTATGTAAGTCGCTTTGGATAAAAGCGACTAACAAATGAAATGTAATGTACTGTTGCAAACATTGAAAAAAAAACACACATTAAGTACTAAATAATGAATACACCAACATTACTTGAAACTTTAAAGAGTTTTGTGATTAATGCTGAGAAAGTTTAATTTAAAAAGAGAGTCAAAAGTATGCTTCTCAGGAAAAACACAGTTTGTGGCAATATTATTAGTCTATTATTGTTATTTTGTACGTAGTTACTTTCCACCATTGTACCTCCAGTCCTCAGTTAGTTCTGATGTGTCATGTGTGCACTTATGTGTTATTATCTTTATATATACAGTCTATGGCTATCACCTTATATATACATTCTATGGTTATCACTTTATATATACAGTCCATGGTTATCACTTTATATATACAGTCTATGGTTATCACCTTATATATACAGTCTGGTTATCACCTTTATACACTCTATGGTTATTACCTGTGATTATAGCGCCATCTGTTGTCAAAATGGCGGCACCGACAGGGAAGTGGCTGTACGGACAGTAAGCCATGTCCCGGGCCTGCAGGCACTTTGAAATGAGCTCTTTCACTTTATCTGCGCACAGAATATGATTACCACAACATGATTAAAAACCACAACGTTAGCTAGCATTTATCATTTAGCTGAATCAAAAGTCAAGTGTTACTGAGAAGGTTTGTTAAATAAACTTGCCTGACATTGCAGAAGAAGACTGTGTGCAGTTTGTGGAGGTCAGAATTGGACTGTGTCACCTTTCACAGCTGAAAAAAGTGCTGTTAATTTTTTATGAATTCATTAAATTCACTGTAACACGGTTGCCGAAAGAAGCGAGAAGAGCAGAGTTCATGAGAGCTGCACGCACACTGTTTACATTCACCTTATTGGCTGGCTGAACGAAACGTCATCAATCACTCTCATGAGTAGCATGAATGGGACCCAGGTTTTGTCAAGTTATCGCGAGAAAAAAGGGGGTCGTTGAACTCACGGGAACAACAAACCACTCCAAAACCCACATGACTGGACTTCAAGCTAAATCAAAAAACCTTTATTTAAACTGGCTGCTTATTCATTTTGTACCATCCAACACCTGTAACAACAATGTTGTCACAAAAAACTGAGCAATATATACTTTATAGTATGTACTACTGTCATTCTGCAGCTACTTCATTACTTTCTACTTGTTTCACTTATGTTTTATATATTTTTACAATGCTTCTACTTACCTTTTCTATTTTTGAAATGTGTATTCATTTTTATTCTAATGTTTAATATATATAACACTTTACTAAATAATGTTCACTCTACTTAATACTGTTTTGATACTGTTTTACATAAACAAATAAGCAGTAGTGGAAAAGTACTCACATCCTTTACTTAAGTAAAAAAACAATTTGTCCCATTTCAGAATAATATGAATGTATTATCAGCTAAGTGTACTTCAAGTATCAAAATACTCATTATGCAGAATGGATGTTTTCACAGTAGGCTATTGTATTATTATGCTCTTTTATACATGTGAGAGCATTAAAGATTAGATTCTTGAAATGTACTGTTAGTAGCCTACTACATTACTGCGTTGTACCATAGTATATAATGTGTTTTTATATGTACAAAGTAACTATCAGTGTTTAAGAAATGTAGTGGAGCAAAAAGGACAATATTTGATCCTGAAATGTAGCGGAGTAGAAGTATAAAGTAAATAGAAATACTCAAGTATGACACACAGACTTTGTGGTGCTCCTGCGGCTAAGCTGCTAAAGCTTAATGGGTCACAAACACAAACATAGGTCACTAATGGATACATCAGCCTGAATATGGCACTTATTGTTAATGTGTGGTCTATAGATGGGGCTAATGTGCAGAGGCTTTTAATATTTCAACATCCTCCACCTGATGAAGCAATACTTTCAGAATAGCCACTATCTCATCTAATTGATGTCTTGTTTGTCCCATTGATCAGATGAGCAGATACCAACCGACCACCACTGTCATAAATACAAGAACAACTAGGTATTTCAATCTATGGTCAGAAGTGAACAGGACGTCCGTGTTAGGATGTCATGTGACTCATGTCACGACGGTAAAAATAGTCCTCTATTGGGGTTTTGTACTTACTGAATCTACTGATTACCTGCAATAAAGATATTTCAGATGAACTACAAGTTAATGTGTGAGGAATAAAAAGTTAAGAAGCCAAATGCGACTAAGTAAACTCAATTTTCTTGATAAGAAAAATAAAAAGCCTCATTGTATTTTATATAAGTACTTCTTTGTTTGATTAATATCTGACATGTTTGTGGACATTACATTCTAGTTTGGTTACAGGTTAGATTTTCTTACTTCAAGCTAAGTTGAGTTAACCTTTCCTAAGACCCAATGTTATTTATTACACCCCCTGTGTTTGGCTGCTGCGTCCCTATCATAAAAAGCAAGAAAACAAAACAAAGAAAACAATCTATGACTAAAATTGTTAATAACGACGTCCAACACACACTATTAATTCCTTTGAGAGCTGAAATTCCCCAAAGGTCAACACCTTAATTACATTAATTTAGCGGCAGATGGTTTCTGTGTTTCTATAAATCCACTTCATACAAGCTAATTCTTTTTTAGCGCATACCGTACCAGCTATTAGATGTCGTATCTTTGGTTATAAAAGGCTTTTATTAAGGCCGATCCCTCTCTTGTGTTTGCTATAGGCCATAAATAGAACATCATCATGAGCAGGTCTCAAAGGGCGTCCAAACTTCACGATCGAGCCCCCTGAACACACAGAAACCCCCTTTCTTTTCTGTGTGTTCAGGTATAATATTTGTCCTGCAATTTCACTTTGAGTACATTTTTATTTTCTCTGGCTAAGGGTTTTCTTTTTCATCTCAAAAGATACTCAGGTCTGAAATCAGATTGCAGGAAGCCACACCAATTGCTTGGCCTTTGTTCCCTCTCTCCTTCCTGTTAAAACTGTCACTGGCTGTGTTTGACTTTCAGTGTGTCAGAGCAGCGGCGAGGTCCTCATCCGCCTCGAACACTTCTCTCTGACTTTGAGAGGAACAGACACTTTCAGCAGCAAAGAAAGACTCAAAGAAAAAGGTAGAAGCATGTGTTGTACGGGGAAATGTGCCCGCCTGGTGGGCCTCATCCTGCTGCCTTCAGCGTTCATCTGCATGATCGCCAACCTGCTGCTGTTCTTCCCCGATGGGAAGACTCTGGACAACGATCAGATCTCCCTGCAGGTCTGGCTCATGGGGGGGCTCATCGGAGGAGGCCTCTTTGTGAGTAAACCACTGTGTATTTTTACGAAGGGGGATTTTATGTTTTACTGTGTGTTTTATTGGGCTTTTCAGTCATTAACTCTGCTCTGTGTAAACCTGTAAAATCTGTGTTAACCTTTAAAAGCTCATTTATTGAGTTTCCTTACTTCTGAGGGAGATAACAGTTCCTTTAAAAGTTTGTTTTTTTAAGCGTAATATACCTTAGTCAGTTAATTGTATTTTATTTATTTTGTTTTGGATTAGTTTACAATCTTTTAGAGCAGATTAGTAATTTGTTTTACTCTGTGTGGAGTATATTTAATTGATACAGCAGATCCCTCCTTATATCTGACTAAAGGCACCTTTAAATTTAAAATTAAACCGAACATAAGCAAGATTCTGCCTTAAGCATCCTTGGAACCGATAAAGAACAAAGCCCAATAACTCGGGTACAATTTTGAGGTATTCACACGTAAGTATTTTCAATTGGTCCCACTTTATACTTCCAATTCTTCACATTTAAGAGGGAAATACCTACTTTTGACTACACTATATTTGTCAAATATAGTAACTTGAAACACAAAACAGACGATGCATTCTTACAGATGAGAATACTGAACATATAGAAATTAGCTCAACCTTGACCATGTACAAAACTCTACACTTTAAAAGAACATATAAGTATATTTTACTGTGGTGTAGCCTACCTGTTATATTATAAGGAAAAGTTTACAATGAATAACATGGTCTTATCTCCTCTACTTCCTCATTACAGATACACACACACACGCACGCACGCACGCACGCACGACACTCACACACACACAAACACACACACACACACACACACACACACACACACACACACACACACACACACACACACACACACACACACACACACACACACACACACACAGATGTGGTAATACAAGTTTCCACCTGCATTATCTTGACGTTTTAAAGGTTGACCAGGCCAATAATGATCCATCAATATTATATCTCATAAATGGATTAGAGAGACCTTTGAGTCCTGTGGAAAGGGCACGGCTTTATGATTTTACAGTTAGGAACATGGACCAGGAAGTTGGATGTCTTTCCTTTAAAAGAAAGTCCACTGAGGATTCACAAATATTTGCTTTGAGAGATAAGAGAGCATGGACAGAGACACACACATGTAAAAATGCAAATGTGTAGGCCTATGTGTGCAGGACACAAATACACACAGCATATAAACATATTAAAGGCTTTTGAAATGATAATTAACATAGGACATCTCTTGTATATTGTTTATTGATGAATGTGTTTTTATTTGAACTTTTCAGATACTGTGTCCGAGCTGCTCAGCTATCAGGGCCGGGGGCAAGGGTTGCTGCGGAAATGGTTGCTGTGGTAACCGTTGCCGGGTAAGTACAGTCATTTGAAATGTACATTTATGTCATTGTGGGGACTTCACTGATAATGAAATTGCTATGGATCAGTGTATTATATTTCCCCATATGGGGGTCACTCAAAGGGACAAGAGAGATTCAAAAGAACCCCAAATAAAGTGCATTAATGAAAGGACTACAAAGAGACACAAAGAGATGCAAAACAGACGCAAATTGACACGTAATGTATAGAAAAAGACTCAAAATGAACACAAAGAGTCATAAATCAACTACACGTGTTAATGGTGGGGCCTTATCTCATAATCGGCCAATGATTGTTATTGTTATTTAGAGTCCTTATGTTTGTTAAATATATTTTACAGAAGTAGGGTTATGAACTGTTCTCACTTCTCTTCAATTAATGGGAACTAGACCGCTAATTTGTAAGTAGTGGAGACAGTTCCAGTGAAAAAATGCTGTGTCGTCTGCCTTTCATTTGCGTATTGTATTATACCTATGTGCTATTTCATTTAATTGTCGTTTGAACATTTGTTTTTGTTGAGTGTGATCCCAATCTTGTAACAAAATACTGAAAAAAATCCTAACTCAGGGTCCAAGTAGGTTTTCCCCTTTTCCATTTTCATGGCCAGTCATTGAGAAATGTCTCATAGCCTAAACAATATGTTCCTATTTCTCTTCCAGATGCTGAACTCTGTGTTCTCCTCTGCGTTCGGCCTGGTTGGAGCGATCTACGGCACCAGTGTGTCCTCTGCAGGTCTGGCTATTGGACCCAAGTGTCAGGTGCAAGGCATTTGGAAATACCCCTTTGAAGACCTCGGCACGTGAGTGATTCCCCCATCATCACTCATACAAATGTACTGTTCTGGGCTCGTAGGTGATGCTGTTGAATCTTTTTTTATTTCTATCAGTTATATTTTACTCTCAAGAGTTTCATTTCTTGAAATGCAATATGCTTAATATCCAGTAGATAGCAGCACTTTCTTTTATGTGTTTTTGCAGCCACATTTAAAGATCGTTTGTAGTAATGAGGCTGGGAATTCAGAATACACAACCCTTTTTTGCTGGTCATTTCATAGTCTTTTTGTCAAAATGATGTCAAATCTCACTAAGGCCTGCCGAGAAATACTTTTTATGTTGATTCTAGGTCTGCAGATTATGATTCTTTCCTTTTTAGTTGAGCAACTGAGACATAGATTTGATAGCATTGAATCTCATTGCTAGACCCAATACCATGGGAATAAAACATAG